TACTTATTTTTATGTTATACTCTATAGTGGATCTATGTCTTACATAATTATTATCAGCATTTTTAGCAAATTTATTTTCTCTTTGGAAAAGAGAAAACATAAATTTAAGAAAAAACTATTATTTTCCTTTGCACGCCATTTTTGTGAAGAAATCTGATAATTTTAATTGCTGCTTTTGTATCGATTTCCGTTCTGCAACATTACAAGTACTAGTGTTGGACAAGGAAGATGATGTTGCGCACTTTTCTTTTTCATTCGCACTCATCGGAAGAGGGACTCCACAACCTAAACGAGGATCATGAATATTGTTTTGCATCGCCAACTCACCACATAACGAGCGCTCAACATGGTATGCCTTTTTTTCCATGCTAACACATTCAAGAGTCGCATCAGGCTCTTCTAACGAGCTACGAGATGACCTTTCACCTGTTGACAGAGCAGATATCGCCATTTTTGAATGGGAAATGAAATCCACTGTGATTGAGTTGCTTTTATTGATGTGCTTGGCGATCCCACTAGAATTGTTATCATTTTCAACATCGGAACAATCAATAGCTAAACATTTTCGGGGCTGAGTAAGGCACTGGTTTTGAATAAAATCTTCAGTTCCGACATCATTTCGTTTAACCCAATCGGTATCACCTTCAGGAGGGCTACACGAGTTTTTTCCATAGACGCTTTTCGAGGTCGTTGTAGCTGAACACGTATCAGATGGAAGAAAATCTGGTCTTGTGTCAGGTGTGGGGAGCACAGTTGTGGAACCATACATGAGGAGCTCCATCTTTCGGATTCCATCACCACCTTTTTTATTGAACAGGATGGCTGTAGTAGAAATTGGACCCAGAAGTGGAGAGCTAATAAAAGCTTTGGATTGCGATTGGTCCTCAATTTTTCTTACCTTAGACAGTGGCGTGTATTCTTCCTCGTCGTCAAGGAGAAGGGCCATTTTTTTTAGATTTGAATGTAACAAAAGTCAGTAAGGTCGAATAGCTATATATATGCAAAACTATTTTATCTATGTCACTTTAGCTTTTCCTTTAAAAATAAAAAGAATCCGTAGGAGAACTGCTTCACCTTTTCCTCAATTTCAAAGTTTAACAAACACAGCAAAAATTAATTTACACTCTCAGGCTTATTTGGGTAAAACAAGGTACATAAATGCATTTCTACAAAAAAAAAAATGCTCATTAATACACAATCAAGGGGTAAGAAAAATGAATCGATCTAGAAAAATGTAATAAACGCATAGAAGCGAGTGTAGTAAAATAAAAATCAGTACACTTATATTATCCCAAATTCAGTTTTAAAAAAACATAAAATTTAGGGTAAATTTTAGGGAACGTTGATTTTTATCATCTCTTTTGTTGCCGTAAACTTGACCTATCATGTTTTATGAAGAGTATTATTTATTCCTCATATTGCCTACGTAAGTACGTACACTTTCTCTATTTTAGATGGAAAGGCTTGTACGTTTTAAAAAATATATATCAGGGTGAACACTTGTAGGACTCAGAAGGAGTGTACGCTGGAGCCCCACTAAACCCCTTGAACTCTGGCGGTGTGCTGAACAAACAGCTCGCATCCTTCGGTAGTCTCGCGGTCGAATCAATAAGACCACCAGTAGTCGAAAGGATATCTTCGAGGTTTAATCCCGTTGGCAGTGCGCTAGCAGGGGTAGCAGGATCTACTATCACCGGTGCCAGCTGTATGGGTTGGCTCATTTTATCCACCAAGTTATGGCAAGGTAAAATTTCCTTCCGCTCAGGTGGGGATGCAAGTTGTGCAAGATTCTCGACACCTGTATGTGAGCCACCTGAATATATATTTCTGTAATAAAAATCACCTGATCTATTTGATGCAATGTTTTTGTCATTTTCATTATGAGTGTATGTGATCATGGCACCCCCAAGCAGTTTCTTTGGATCCACCTGAACTTTTATTGCACGGCGGGTGGTAGGGGCGTCGCTGAGAAGGGATACAACGCGCTGGATTTCTTTCGCATATAAGCGATAAAAGTCATCTGAACGATCAGGCTGAAGACTAAATTCAGCGAGTTCTACAGGTATAAGGTATCGTGTCTGTAATGTGTGGTTGATGCGACTTAAATGGTCCATCAATTGCTCTGACTCCCTGGGGAGAACGCGTAACCCGTCAAAGAGATCCGTACCCTCTACAAATTTCGGCATAAAAGCACCAGGCCTAGTATAATATTTAGTTGTTTTTTTCAAAAAAAAGTAAGTCTCTGATCTTACTTATTACGCTCTATTGTTCTTGTTAAAGTAGTGAAAAGAAGAAATGGTGTGTTCACACTTCCCTTGGATAGCTACCAAAACTTACATGAATAGAAGTTATTTAATGTGGAAATAAAAAAGAAGAGATAATAGGCACCGGTAGCCTTAGCAGAGCTCACTGAACACACTCCTTTCAATTCTTAGTGTCTTTGAAGACAACAAAGCGCTAAGGAGCTGCAATATTATATATATATATATATATATATATATATATATATATGCATATACCAGAAAGAAATAATAAATGTCATGAAAGTGTTACCACAAGTCGCAATAAGCTAACAAAAGCTTGAGTGTGTTGTACACGCGAAGAAGAGTGCTTCTCTATCAGAATATATATACATGCACATATATATATATATATATATATATCGAAAAAGATAGAGCGAGGACTCGGCACTCACCTTTTAAGGATACATTTTCCTGATCTTGATTTAACTAAATTCAAGAAGCAAAAATATATCTCAACGAAAAAATGCTCAGTTCGCCTAGAGGTAGTTCTTGCACTCTCAAAATTTCGTCATTCGATCTTAAATGGTGGAGTGGTAACCATAAGCAAATTGCGACATGCTGTATGTTGAACTCACATAATAAACATTGGGTAAGTGAAAAATAAATAGACAACGACGGAGCAACAAAATAAAACACTGGACGAAAATACGTCTCAGATCATTTTTACGTTTTATTTGCTCACGTATCTCCTTCATCAACGAACACGCAACTTACGTGATGATTTGATTTCCTCCAGAGTGAAAAAATGAAAGTCGAGCAATTCATTCACCCTGTAGCACTTTATTTCCTTTTACTGTTTGCCTTCCCTACGCGCTCGAACATGTAGACCAATCGGCCATTTTTAGACATATATCCGAAGCGCTCACCACCAGGGGTTATCGCGACGCTCAAAACCTTATTGGTAAACGGCTCCGGTATCCGGTCTAGACCCCCTTCTGGCCCACCAAGCATCTCGCTGCTTGAAGGGCAGTGATCTTCTGCCTCGGCGGGCCGCGGGGACAACCGCTCCCATGCAGACGCTAAGTTTCCCTCCAACTCTTGCATGCTAACCTTCCCCCCGAGGGCCATCGCAGCAGGACTGACAAATGGGTCAACGCGGTAGTGCACCATCGTCTCCGTCGAGCTCAGCGCGGTCGAGAGCGGTTGCCACACCGCCACAGCTCCATCGTAGAGCCCTGTAACCACGGTGCCCGACACGTCATCGATGCAGACGGGGAAGCGATCGAAAATGGAATCATTACGGTAGAGTGAGTCTAGATACGGCACAACATAGTCCATCACAGGGACCGTGTCACACGGCGTGGTTATTTTGCGCAAATCCCACAACTTTAGGCTCAAGTAATCGCGTGTGACGATGTGACCCGGGGTCAGAAAGGCCGCTGCGGATATGCTGCAAAGGATCTCATTGTATGACGAGCTGCTTGTCGGGTTCTGCTGTGGCGTGATTTGGGTTGTGATGGCATATTGCCGAGTCTCGCGTGAAGGTGGGTGGCGCAGATCCCCAACGTTGAGTATCCCAGAGCTGCGGCTCAGCAAAAAGAGACTGCCATGAGTAGGGTGAAAACAGGACGCTGTAATAAGCTCCTCAATCTCATCTAGCAATCCGGAACGGGGCCGAAGATCCACGATGCAAGTAGGCTTGGTTGTGTCCGAGGCCTCAAAATGCCACCAAAAAACTTGTAAATCTTCAACACTCATAAACGTCTCGCAGTCTGCTGAGACGCTCAACGATTGAATACTATTCCCCAGGGGCCCATACTCCTTGGTCGGGAGTATATTGGCTTGACCATGAGTCCGGGCTAAGTATCGTGTGCTCAAGAAGGATTCACCAAGAACAGTACCCATACAAGGAAATGCATGAAGCACGCCAACGCCCTCCCGACGGACGTGAAACAGCTTGATCACCCGGTCGTTCGCGGTGAGGTAGGTTATCCTACTTGGGGAGCTCAACGGGTTCACAAAGGCGAAACACTTTACGTACGGCTCAACAGCGACTGACGTGAGGGCGTTAATCGACTTGATGTAGGCCTTGTGCCGGTGTCGTCGTACCACCTCATATCCCCAAATAGTTCGCGTATTACTCATCGTCGCTTCCGAGTCTACAAAATTGGCCGTGCTGCTTACTTCCGAACTATTCTTACCATGCAGCGTGCCAGTGTGGCCGGTTCGACATAACTCGCAGCTGCTATGAGAGTTGAACTTACCTTGTTGTCCTTTTTTATCACTAGATGAGCTAACAAGTAACTCGAAGTATTCGATGTGTCCGTTGTAGTCCCCCAAACACACACCCAAAACGGGTGCATCATTGACAGGATCCTGCAGGACGGTCATGGCAAGCGCAGTCACTGAAGGCGGATCTGGTTCCCCCAAATCAAAAGGCTCACTAAAGCCCCTTCTCGGGATACTATCACTGTTAGGCAAAAACTCTTCCTTCGCATCAAAGCAGGAGGTAAAGATAGATTCTGTGAAGCTAGGGTTGCAAATATTGTCTTTTTGATCTCCTGCAAACTCCACTAAATCGGAAAAGTTAGCACTGCGGCGCTGCGATAATGAATCTCTACTAGAGTTAGCCATAAAAGAAGAGCGGCCACCAACGGGGCTAACGGGTGGCGTCATAGTGTTGACACTTTTCTCTTCCTCACCCTGACGAGGTACTGAAGACAGATCCTCTATAGGATAATTCAGCCGATGGTTGTACCTAAAAGTTCCTGTACTCGCTCCCATAGTGTGGTGCAGTTTCCATTCGCACCTACGAATGTGCTCGAGCACATTCCCGCGTGGGTCGAAATGAAAGACGTGTTGCGTGGATTGCGGAAAGGTCATAACCCCCGGCGCAATCGCCGTCGAGTTCAGTTTTTTCTTTTGTGGAGAATTTGGATTCATCTTGAGGCGTCGTGTACCGTTTCGGGAAGAGGAAACCCGGGGTGGTGAGCTTGAATCCATTGTGGAGATCGATGTGCTGGTCTCATCATACAGGTCACGTTGGAAATCGTAGAACCTTCGTGAAGGCCCACTAGATGTCCGTGAGTTCGGGTTCAAAGACAGCAGGTGCTCATATTTGTCTCCAGTATGCGCTGAGCCGTTTTCGACGCCTGCGATTTCACTCAAAGAAAAGTGGACCAGACTACCACTATCATCATAACTAAACAGGCCGTTTACTGAGCTGTCTGAACGAACTTCACTTGTAGCACGTGAAAGGCGAACCAGGCAACCTCGCCGTGAACTTTCCTCCGTTAGGGATTCTGGCAACGGAGAAGTCGTTGAGCGCCTCTTCGTTGTGGCTCTTTTTCTCTCCATTTTGTCTAGCAATGTCTGAAATTTCAAAAAAGTGCAATTACATACAGCTACACATAAATAAATAAAACGATACTTGTTTGTGTTTATGTGGAACCAATATAAAGCAAGTCCTTCTCAAGGAGACCTGATGAACAATGCCAATAAGAATAAAAACAAACAGTGAAGCAAAAATAAATAGAATACGATAAAATATATTCTTAATAGGAATAATTACATCTGTTGGCACTCCCAGCAACCCTCTTATGTAGTGAAATAAAGCAAAAATTAGCCTAATATTGGAAGAGAATGGGAAAGCAAAAGCAAAAAGAACGAAAAAGTAAAGCACATACCCGCATCAATTTATCTTTTTAGGCTTCGTCAAATAAAAAAGCATAGCATTTTGTTTTCATTGAGATGAACTAGTGATTGCACTATTGGATAGTTCTAACGCATTACAAAAAGACACAAAATGCCATTTATCCAGTCAATTTTGTGACTCTGAATCAATAAAAATTCGTTAAATACTTTTTGATCTCTATTATTCATATCTATGATATCGTACTCTATGTAATCTATATTCGATGATATTTTTGTTCTTGCTCTTTTTTCAATGGAATTTTCTAAAATTCTATGTTAAGCCGTCGCACAAGACGAAAGCTTGACGCCATCTTAGAAATATACGCAGGCTTTCTGCTGACCTGTGGCTTAAAAGTACATGGACCAAGCTCTTGGTCTTTTTTTTTTGCCTCCATTTCCTTCTTCAATCTGATTTGTGTCTCCCGCCTCTGCTTCAAGTACTCACGATGTTGATTGTAGGCATTAGGCTTCAGCAACGAGCTTACCTGAGCGTTTTTTCGAGTGTTGAGGACCGGCTTAAACGAACATTCAGCTGTCTTCTCCTCTTCTGCGCGCCTTCGGGCTATCTCTCGGGCCTGAATCAGATGATTGTGTGACTCATAAAGCCTTTGGAAAGTAGCCTTTTTATTGCGCGCTGGCTCGCTTTCACGACTACATTCGTGGCGGCTACTGGTACGCGCCGCAGAGGACACCCTAGGCGAAAAGGAACACGGATTGACATATGATGACATGTGCTTCGAAACCAATGCACTCCCCAAAGGTATGTGATTAGCTCGGCAGCGCTGAATCCAATCTGATGTGTTTGACCCAGATGAATTATGAAGAACAGAGCGATTAATCATGTCCTGCATCAACCGGGCACTCTTCAGGGTAGTTTGTGGTGTGAAATGCGGTGTCATTTCCTTCTCCAGCATACTCACAGTGCGCTCATGGCGCACGTGGTGCATATTTTGACGATCCAGAAACTCAGCAAAACGTTCCGTAATGGCATCGCAAGCTCGATGCGGTTGACAAATCGTGTCTTGTCCAGAAAAATATTTATCCATCATCGAGGAGGAAAAAGATGAAGAAACTCCATTTTGATTGTCCCTTGTGCTTGACACCTTCGCGCCGCGCTGGCTTTGGCTGGCCTCTTCTTCCTCGATGGCAATTGCCATTGGAGAGCGGTAAGCGCTTTCCACGAAGACAACATGTTGGTCTGCTTTCAACGTATTATTAGGTGACAAGGACACCAAACCACTCTGAAAAATGTTGCTGAGAAAGCCAGCGAAGGTTTCAAATTGTTTATGTCGGCCAGAGTGAGAACGAGACGTTTGGTGGTGTAGCGGTTTGGGGTTATAAGACGCACCGCACCTCTGGCGGAGTAGAAAAAGTTCCTTTTCAATTTCATGACGATGAGTGGCCTCTTCTTCACTATGGCGCCGGATCGCCGCTTCTGCTGATAGATGCGCAGGATAAAGACGTTCATACACAGGCCTTAGCGGACCTTCCTCTTCTTCCAAGGTTGAAGAGCATTTGTTAGCCGAACGCTGCGCTGCTGCGGCAGCAGCCTGCATAATGGCCTGTGAGCCCGGAGATATAATTGGATGGAATGTGCATTCCACTATGTTCCTTTGACCTTTCTCACGTTTTAATTTCTCGTGGCGATACGTCTGAAATCCCGTGGACTGGGTGTCGGCACCGCTCGGCACATGAGCTAATCGTGATGGGGAAGCAAGTACGTGGTAAGACTGGTCAGAAGAAACCAGTATCCTCTTCCGATGGTCACCATCGGTGTCAACACGCCGAGATCTGGAATCAAAAGTGGCACCCAGCAAGTCTATGGGATGTTCATACTCAGATAAAACCTTACACTCCTGGACTCCTTCATGAGGCATCAGATTATCGTCAAGAAAGAGATCTGAACACTCGACGACAACAGAAGGAGCATCGTGGATAGCTCCATCCATGCTAATATGACTAATACTGCTGAAATTATGGGGAGAAACCCGCACTGTTCCCACCCTTGCATCTTTCCGCGGCGAAAGAGTGGTCATATGAGTACTAAGGTCCATCGAATGCGGGAGCGTTGAGCCTTCCCCACGATTGTCTCCTCTAGAAGGAGTTTCATACGTGCTATCTACATCCTTGAGATGGTGCACGGTGTTTGCCTGGTACAAGGTGTTGTCACCCTCCTTACCTCGTTTCTCTCCTGAAGGCTGATATTTGGAAGCGGCAAAATGGGTTGCCTGTGACGTCTGAGCCTGGTTTTTGGCCATCTCTGCCCTTAGTTGTCCTAATGCAGTTCTCCGTGATGAGATCCAGCAACGCGCTTCCTCTTCGGCTTCATCAGCACTACAACGTTGAATATGCTTGGTAGTAGCCATATCGTGCGCTTGGATAGTAGAAACACTTTGGTTGACAGTCGATGATGGAGAAACGCAAACAGATACTATGGACTCCTGCTCGTCTTCCAGAGCGTTCCCGACAGGAGCAACACTGTAGCCTATCGCCTCAGTGCTCTGCATGGTTTGCATTTCATTATAACCCTTCAAAAATGGAATAGTCGTCTTGAAGGTATTTCCTGGCCTAGGTAAGATATCTTTACCGACGAAACAAGCAACATAGCTATGACAATAAGGTATCCGAGGATACTCACAAAAACGCTTTTTATCCTTGAAAGTGAAACCAAACGATTCCTTGCCGGCTTTGTGCGCAGCGTTGTAGCTACCATAATGTGAAGTCTCGGGGCTTTTCTCAGCTTTCTCCACTAAGAGTATGGAGGTTTGGGGTGTGCTCATGCACTCATTAATGCATGGGTCCCCCTCGGTGCATCCTACTAGGGTGTCTGCAGAGTCGAAAATCGTGCTACTTTCGGATAAGGCAGCGCAAACTGAAAAAGTCGTGTCGCCAGCTCCGGCTTTTTCATCTCGTGACGGCAACCCCACTACCCCAAGCTGAGGTACAAACATATTTGGCGTGTAAACCTTGCTTGAAGAGCTTTCAAACGAATTTATAGACGTGACATCAGAATGGTCCTCTTCATCACTCATGAGAGTTGTCACTGTACTTATCATGTGATGGTTCTCACGCAAGGGACTTCGAATGCAATTCTGCTCTGTAGTGCGTGATTCTTCGACAAGTTTCTGAATGCGACGATGTGGGATGTCTGGGGAAGATATTTTTTCCTGGCTCTTTGTAATAACTCCCATTAGACATTCAACTACATCTGCGTTTGTTGCTCTCGTCAATGAATCATTGGTGAATCCATCAGCTTTGCAGTGCCCATCACGACCAGAAGTGGTATTTATATCCGTCATCATGCGGTAGGAGCACAATCTATTAAAAGTTTCAGTCCCCTTCATGCTCATAATATCAAACTCTTTTTTTATTGATAGAAATAAAATTTGACAAAGGGAATCAACCGATAAAACTAAAGATGAAACTGGATGTGTGATAAGTCGTATTTTGTCTGCTTGTATAGGTTTCCCTCAGTATTCCTATTGGTAGGCTCACTAGCTATGCGGTTGTCTTGCCTCAAGGGAAAAAATTAGTTACATAAGTCTTTCATTAAGAATTGTAGATCAAATCATACGTTGAATGACGATAATCATTGGCCATAGCAATGATAACAGTATCGCAGTTTTTTGGGGGGTATCCCTTTAAAATACTTATCTAAGACAATGTCTTAGATCTGTATTTGGCACGGTAATCTATATTAATCGAAACGTTCAAACTTCATTCGAAATATTTATTTTGTGGTGAATTTTCACTTGAAAATGTAAAGATTAGCAAGGAGGGCAACCAAATGAAATCGTTCAGTAAAGAAGCACAACCTCATATATTAAAGGTGATGAAGCGAATGAAACAGAATCATAATAATAAAATGCTTGCTAATTCAACACAAAAATATGGCCCCAGATCCTTGCATGAATAAGGCAAGGATGGTGCCTAGTTTTGTTTTTGAGCCTCGTTCGTGATGACAGCATGTAATAAAACTAAAATGTAAGCCCTATATTTAGGACTTGAGTTTGTCTTTTCCCCTTAGACAAGTTTCGAAAAGCAATATTAAGGAAACAAAGATATATATATAGATATACATATCTATATAATCAGGAAGAGATAGAAACTTACAGAACAACTAATCCATTTAGCTTATGCGCATTACGCCGATGCACATCCTCACATGCTCTAGCATACGCTTTAAATTGATGACGAGCCTCAGGGCTAAGACCTTCAATAAAGTCAATCTTATCCGTCTCACTTTGATCAATGTACCAACCTGTAAAAAACTCCACAAAATCGTACGGAAAGCCAAGCTCGTCCTCATCGGTGTGACCCTCCCAGAGATCGGCGGAAGCGGGCGCACGCCGAGTGTTTTCTGGCACCCCCAGAGCCTCTGCCACCATATACACCTCGCTCTTATGCAGATCTGAGATCAATTGCAAATCCACAATGCCGTCCCCAGCCTTGCAAAAATAACCCAAATAAAAATCCTCGTCTTTGTTTCCGGTACCCATCACAATCGCGGGGGTACCCTCTTGGTTCAAGAGCTGAGTTATGTAATAGATAGTGGGTGTGCGCATATAGCAGCGTAGTTGTCCAGACGCAAAGTCCTTCGCCTGAATCCCTACTGCATCCCCGATGACTCCCGAAAGCTGTGTATGTAGGTGAGTCTGATCCACGATAACCTCCGTCGCCTGACAAGCCGCGATGTTCTCCCTCCCTCGGGCCAGGGCCCAATCACTACTTTTGATCGGCTGACACACGCCCACATTCTTAACAATCGGGCTCTCCACGCTCTTCATCGCCCTTGCACAAAGTGCAATAACGACGGCCGAATCAATACCGCCGGAAACATTTGTGACACAAGCCTTGAGTCCATGAGCCCTCATATAGCTGTTCAGCTTACTGCACTTGCTCTCAATCCACTCGATGGCGTTGAAATTCTTCTTCTTTCGATACGCATCTAAAGCACTTTTCAGCCCAGGATGCAGTGCTTGGGGCATACGTAGTCACGTAAGATGTTTACAGAAAAAAATTAAAACAAATGAGAGTAAAATAAGACTCTAAGTGTCAGGTAATTTTGAATGAATCTTGCTCGGTTGTGAGTATCACGTGCACATTTTTAGATTTGAGAAAACAGCAAGGTGTAGGATAAAAAAGATATAAAGAAATAAATCTGAATCAAATTAGAAGATGAACTTCGCACCGTCACTCTCTTAGAGTTCTCTTTGTTACATCTCTCAGTAAAGAGCAGTATATTTTTGGTTCTTGCTTTCTCCAATATTCCCCTGGCAGGCTTCACGATAGAAAAGGTAAAGTACCTTCGAAAATGAAGAAGAATTTGTAAACATAAACATCATCTGCTTTATGAACATCGATCGGTGTAAAAAAGAACATTTACAATAAACAAAAAAAGAAGAATAACATTGGAAATGTGGTCAGAGCCTACAACTCTGCCTTTGGTCTCAACACATTACATACAGCAAAGAAGAAATAGCAGAGCTACTGCGATCGAAAGGAAGAACGGTGTGTACACAAGGGGACAGCTGCTGTCCTTTTTATGTGTTACTAGGGAAAAATATTAGTTCCACTATACATCTTCTTGCGTTTGAGGATGACCCTCCTCTTCTTGTACTGGCGCAGGTGCCTCCTCTTCTTGTACTGGCGCAGGTGCCTCCTCTTCTTGTACTGGCGCGGGTGCCTCCTCTTCTTGTACTGGCGCAGGTGCCTCCTCTTCTTGTACTGGCGCAGGTGTCTTGACTTTTTGTACTAGAGCAGGTGTCTCTTGTACTGGGGGAGGAACGTCCGCCTCCGTACATTTTCCCTCAATCGCCTGTGTTTCATTGTTGCGACGCCGGTAGCCTTGAAGCATGATTTGTTTGTAATTACTCGCTCTTACACGGTCCTCAGCGAAGTGCTCAATCTTATACTGCTCCAGGAACCTTTCCTGATATTCGATGCCCTCCAATATAGGGTCCTTCCTCCTTGGGATTTCAACAAGTAAGTTTTCGTCGTCATTTATCATGTCCGCCGGCATGTCGGAATTACTAATCTTGTCAGCTGTCATTTTTCTCATAGAGGCCAGCGCGTGTGCCCGAAGCAATTCCTTTTTATGTACCATCTCTGTGTTCGGGTCAGCGAGCTCCTCGATGTGCACAAAAACCGACTGACGCACCCAGCTGTCATCCTGAAGCGGAGAAACATATTCCATAATCATATCCTCAGCTGGGGCAACTCTTGTCAGCGAGGTGTCAACCACATCGAGTGCACCCTTTTCGTTGTTATTCGCTGACATTTTGACAATAATATCAAAAATAATAATAACACAAAGAATGATAGCAAATTTTAAAAGAATCTATTTACGTCCTTTTATTGATGCTAAATAGTTGAATATACTACTTGTACAAAAAAAGAAGAAACAGAAATTATATACAGGCGCAATTTGTATCCACTATATGATAGTGACGGCAAATGTAATACAACTATACATGCAAGAGATGAGAAAGTATAAAATTTTTCGTTAATCTCTAAAGGGCTGATGTGATAATACTATTCTGCCAAAGGAACTTGGCCCCCTCCCATTAATTTAAAAATATATCTTATAAAAATTTACTTCAAATATAAGATACATTTTTTAGGTAGACATTGAGAAAAGGAAGCAAACCAACGAAATACAGGCCCCCCTCTCCTCGCTCCCATCTCCTCCCAATACTCCCTTACAATAACACCTCAGCGGTACTTTTCGTCAGGGGGGGGAAGGAATTTACAGATTTAATTCGGAAAATGGTCAGATACGCTAAGAAAAAAGTTAAGCACAATTAAGCGAGGATAACTCTTACTTCAGTTGTATATTAATATAACAGAGCCTTGAGTGTCAAGTCTGGGACTCCAAATCCTCCCCCTACACTAACCTTGAAGACCCAAGGCGTTATAGAAAATACAGGCAAAAACTGCAAATACACCTCATTTCACACCTTCATCCCTCACACCATCACCTAAGATAGAGATATTCACCTAACCTGAGCATGATTCCCCACGTCATCATTCCAATATCCTCCTCCCCCCCCCCCCCCCACTCTCACTTCTTTACAAAAATATGCAATAACTTTTTAAAAAAAAATCGGCCGCTTTGCTCCCTCTTAGGACACGAAAATACAATTTATAAGCTAAATAGCGTTATCGTGTCCTTCAGTTGTTGCTTTTTGGAAAATTTATGCATATCACTAGACTTAATCAGTTACAGCAATTACAAGACCAGAGGAAACAAGAAGAAATTGAAATGAAATTTATGAAGGGAAATAAATCACTCACTTTCCGATTTAGAGAAATACAGGAACGCAATATCGTAAATTTCAGGTACATCCATGGAATCGGCCCTAGATGCGCATCTGTATTTCCTTCCCATGCAAAGCATGGGTCTAAATGGGAATTCTCCTTGATAAATAATAGTGAATCGTTGCAGGCGTTCCTTTCCTGACATGCAAAAAAAAAAAGACGAAGCATCCCATCAACCAAATATTTATGCGCTCAGAATAAATTGGACACTATTTCCGGTCAATGTCCGTTGACAGCTATCAGGAATTGCAACAACACCACGATCCTGGCTGCATCCCATATTCTTATACTAAGTTACACCACACCATTCATGTTCTAAGCGCCCGTCAGCAATTCGATTGTTTTGATAAATTGAATAAATTGATAAATGCATTTGTCAACAATATTTGCACGGGATTGACGCAATATCACGCCCATTCAAATTTCTTCCTGCACCGAACGCTAGTCTAGTCCGTAATGCTCGGCATCATAGCGAAATACAAGATACCCATTAACAGACAGGATGCCTTTAGTCGACGGAAAACCAAACTTTTCCCCACATCTGTAAAGAGAGAGTGAGGGAAGGAAAAAAATACGGAGGGAGAAGGAGCTCGATACTAAACTCTGTGTCGATATACACAGAAACGTTGACCTAATTTATGTTGGCAAGCCCATTTCAGAAGCTGCGGAAGCAGAAGGTGACACTTCGATAGGCAATTGTGATTCCTTAGAATTGGAACCTTCACATGAATGCCCCTGTGGTCTACGCTTGAACTGGATAATAATAACAGACATGTTATCGCAACCCATTCCAAACGGGGACGGCGATAGACAAAAGTCGATAAGCATCTCGGCGATCTCCCCAAGCGGCTTTCGCTTCTGAATTAGCAAGCGCACGAACTCTATTACCTGCTCGTTTGTCATAACGTCCCAGATGCCGTCGCATGCGATCACCGCGAACTCGTCGCGGTCTCTATTGAGGCGGTGCGTGCGCACCTCGGGGGCGCCCGTCACCGCCTGCTGATCCCACGGAAGGCTGGCGTTGCGCTTGAAGCTGAAGTCGCCGATGGCCCGGCTGAGGGCCAAGGCGCCGTTGACACGCCGGTTCATCACAAAGCCGCCGGCGCGCTCAATACGGATTTGCTCACCCGGATTGAAGGGCTTGTGGTCCAAGCTTAGAGGGTGAACCTCGGTGTCCGTACAGAAAACACAGCGGCTGTCACCGGCGTTCGCGCAATACACGTCATCCTCCCTCACGTAGAGCACCAACGCAGTGCACCCGCTGCGGTGGGCTTCCCCACTACCGTGGAGGTAGTTATCAATCTCCATAAAGCCGTCGTATAGGGCCTTCTCAATGTTCCCATTGAGAAACGCGGGCGCTTTGGAGACAAACTCGTACATGTGTTCGCCGCAAAACTTAGAGGTTGAGGGTCCTCCGTGGCCGTCATAAACACCAAAAAAGCCGCCCTCTTCTAAAAGTATAAGGGTGTGGGCGTCCTCCATCGTACGGCGCCACCCCTGCATACAGCTACTGCCAAAGGAAAGAGTTTCATTCTCACCAGAGGATGTCGATTTCGTCGTTATCGGTTCCATCATAATGTCCGCGCGCCGTAACGCATCGGTGTACAATACCGCCTCCGATGAACGCCATACCCAGTGAACAATTATACTGGAGAACTGAAAGAACCCAAACACCCACAGGCATACCATCCAAAGGCTGCCCAAAACCCAGCCATAGCTCATATGCATAACATAAATCAATATCATGGTGAAGACTAGCACCGTAAACGTCCGAGCAACCTCAAATTTACGAAACGCGTATTGATTTCCTTGTGCAGAGCGGAGGATCTGAAACTTGTCATGGAAAACCTGCAGCTGATGTAGTTTTGATTGGGACATATGATAAGGGTTTCTCTGAGAACTTTTGCTCAGCTGAGCGTCTCCAAATTTACGCTTATGTTTCATACCTAAATAACGCTACGTTTACTGCCTAAAAGAAACAAGGGAGTAAGCAATATCGTGAAAAAATAAAACCAGTTCTCGCACATCTAATAAGCGCAATATATCAATAAACTTTAAAGCAGCGATCGCAACTGAGAACTATTCTTAATAATAGAAATAGACAACGATAAGTGTCAACAGAAAGAAAGAAATAGTTTTCTTTTTTTAATGGCCCCGTCCCTCTGGTCTTTATTGTATTCGGGAAAATTGATTAGCATTAGCCCTTCCTCAGATAAACGGTGAGAAATGGAAAAAAACTTGTGTTATATTCTTTTTTGTACGACCTATAGGCTCAATTTACTATGTAAAGGAGGATAAGTTGACAGAAAGTATGTCAAGGGTCTGGAATACTTTTAGAACTGCACTCACTATAGGGATATCAGAAGGAAACCCCAAAGATTAAGCTTTGTAGAAATATATATATAAATAAATAATCTACATATGTCGGTCTGTACAGATATAAGCACATATGGCACCTAGTAAATACAGAAACAAAATTAAAGATAAATGAGATTACAAAGGTGAGCAAGAAGGTAAATACTAATTGACATCTGTTCAGTAATTTCATGTATTTTGAAAATCTTTTCGCATCGAAACAACGCATGATCACCAATAAAGTGTCTTCTATGTGTTTAATTTTAATGGTCCTTTTTCTGTAATAAACTGGCTTTTAAAAAAATACACTATATGTTTTTGTGATTGGTCGCATCCCATATATATTTGTATAAACACAGTTCTATGTATTCTCTATAGATAAAATAAAGCTATGCCCAAAAAGTACCACACGGATCCACCTCTATAGCTTATACAATACAAATGAAAAATCGTCTTGAATCCGCATCACTGAACGTGAAAGGATATCTTTAAGGAGAAAACCACCCTGTCAAGCAGCATAGGAGTCACCTCTCTGGAACGGCTTAAGAAACAAAAGAAAACATGGGATGAATTTTTGTAGCAAAAGTAAAACACAATACGAAGTAGGGAATATATAAAACTCGTGTTTAGCTACTCTCGTCATTGTCTTCCCAATCATCTCCGTCAGAGTGGTTTCAGGGGGTGAAAGCAAGGTAGCTTCAGCGTCCTGCAGAGACGAGTTGTGATGGAGAGTGTGATGTCAAGCCCCTGCGCAGTGCACTCAGGCTGGGCTTCGTAGGCGTCATCTGCTTCGCCGTCTTAAAGGGACTTCCTACCACCTTATCTATCGGTGCGTGTAGGTGGGGTTTGATCGACACCGACTCGAACTGAGTCTCAGCGTTGAAACGAGCTTGCTTATCGTCTGAGTTAGAATGGTCCGGACAATTCTTGGAGTCCCCTTCATGATTTGGTCGGTGCAAAGTGCTCTTATCCTCCTCTCGAGAGGATTTACTAGACTTTTTAAGTGTCGCGGGTTGACGCCGCACCCGTTCAGGTGTCTTGGGTGCATCCATTTCTAAGCAACTTGAGCAGTTCAGCTGTCGATGCACTTCTAGAGCTAGGTCCATAAACTCACGCGCCACCACCGCGTACTGCGGATCACGCTGAAGCTTCTGGAACGCGTCATCCGACATAAGGCAGGTGAGCTTTTTAATGACATGAGGTGTGGCTTCGCTCGTGACTAGGGTGGGCTTCATGGTAACACCACAAAGAGGCGTGCGGAGGTCGTATTTAGAAATCGGCTCTACACCATCTGTCGTGTGAAGCCCAGAGACCTCATCTGGAACTGTTTGGCATGCGGCATCTTGTACCTCCTTTTCAACACCCACTGCCTTAGATGTTGTCTCTGAGGTCTGAACTTGCATCTCCGCAGCTTCCGTGAATAGGAACCGGAAGTGACGCAGCACAGTCATGACGCTGTCCGCATCTGTGGCCATAGAAGCTAACGCCTCGTTAGTCTCAGCCTCTGAAAATACCAAGAGAGAGTCGTGAAAAGAGGGATGTGTTGTCGACGCGTTTATGCTGTGACACACCGCAGGTCTCTTAGGAAGAGAATCACCCCTGCATCGTATGATTTTCTTGTCCTTCCACTCAAAATGAACTTCTGAACTACGTTTAGGCGTCCCAAGAATAGGAGCTCGCAGCATCGCACATGTTTCTTGACGAACCTCAGCTAGCAAGGCACTGTCGCTGTCAGCGCCCTCCTTCTCAACGTTACCACCAACCACCTTTGGAGTCGCACCACGCTCGAGCCGATGGACCACGCTGGTTATCGTCTCGCATTGTGCAAGGTGCATAATAGCAGACATCGGAAGCTGTTTAAGGTATGAGTAAAGGAGCATCCACAGCCGCGGCTTCCATGGGGTGTGGTAGAGATTTTGGAGGATCGTACCCACTTGTTCCTCCAGCTCCCTAAGTAGAAAGTACGGCAGGCGCTCAGTCCTGGGCTCCAAGCCCTCCATTTTATTATGAAACACCGAGCCGTCGGCCTTCGCAGATTCCTCAATCATCGCCGTCACTACTCTCCCTTCCGGTGAGCAGCCATCGATGTCTGGTCGTGTGGCGATAGGGGAAAGGTCCAGCTCTCTACAAGAAGACGGTGTAAAGGTTTGTGGCTCTGTCAAACCAGAGGGTTTCATTGGGCTTGCTCCGGCACCGTCAGTCTTACACGCTTCCAGTTTATCATCACAGTCGCCCCTCGTGCGCATTACCTGCTGCACCGTAACCGCGGGTGCGGAAAAAGGAACGTCTGTAAGATCTCTGGTGATGATCTCTGGTTGCGCTGGTGAAGAAGCTGCAGCTACAGCAACTGTAGGATGCTCGGGATGTGGATCCTGGTGGTATATCGATTTCGGCTTGGATACCTCACTTCCCGAGCGGGTGCGGAAACTGTACGGGGATGTGCTCATACTCTTTGCTTTCCCCGTAAGGCCTACATGACTCTCCCTCGTACTCAACGACCTCGCCTCTACACCTTGCTCCGAAAGCATGTCAGCTTGGGTTGCCGTGGGTAGCGATTTACTCCCATCCGTCGCGGCTACCGATGTGCTCCGACTCACGTGTTTCCAAGGCAGCTGCTGGCGCTGCCACCCGTTCGCTGATGTGCTGCGGGGCGCACCACCGTGTAAGGCCACGTCTGCAGTTGGAGGAAGGTTCTTCTGGGCCCGGTCACTGTTGAGATAACGTCCCCTCTTAACATCCTTCCGCTGATCATGACGCGAGAGGGCCTGGGCCGTGAGCTGCTCAATGCGAGGTTCGGGGTGGCTGTCGCGGTTGGCGTGGCTTCCACCGCCGTGGGAGACCCCAGCAGTGTCGGCTGCCAGTTCGAACCGATTCTCCAGCGAAACAGATACACCAGGCAGGGAGGAATCGGTAGTCCTCGTCGTGGGCTGCGTCTGGGGGGGTGGATGGGCCCGACCACGATGGTGGCTGTTGTGAAGCCGCCTTGGGGTCGCGTTGGGTGCGTTCTGCGAGCGAGCACGGCTCTGTGAGTGAGCCCCACTAAGCGTGCTATGACGTGGGCGTGAGGGCGCAGGGAGGACCCCTGAAGGGGACTTGTCTCTTCCCTGGGCCTTGACGGTATTGAAGTGCTGGAAGATGACCAGGGCCGAGACCCCAGCAACGGCACAAACGATCATGAATACCCTTTCCTTGTCCATGATATCTCAGTAGAATCTTCTTCAGTTTGACTTCCCTTAAATTGTCACACTTGTATCTGTCCCTCCCAAGAAAAAAAAGAGACACTCTCGAAGAAAGTGTTGCTTAATCCACACAAGTAGTGAAAAAGAAAAATCTATAAAAGCGAATAAGAACACGTATCTTTGGGTGTACGTTTGCTACGAAAAAAAAAATGAGTAGAAAACCATAAGAAAATAAAAATAAATTCATAAATGGTCAAATCAACAATCTAGTATGCGCTCTTTTACAAGATACTTTAAAGAGATCGGAATTTTAATATCAGTATTTTAAAAAATGTTTAAAGTGCAAAGTAATAATGAAATAATAGGTTTGAGAGAACATGATAAAAGTGTTTTACTATAATAATTGAAACAGTGAAAATCGGAAATGACAACACTACGTCCACCACTTTTCCATCCTCACCGCGCACCGTTAGACGTCTTATGCACAGTCATCTTACAATCTCTGTATCCGCGGATGAAGCACAGCAGAAAGGCGCTGTAAGGCTATTCCGCTGGCGACTTGAATAGGAAGTCCACGTGAGACCGAATTGGCGGTCATATCCTTTGTCCTGTCCAAGTGCATGGACGCTTTACCACTCTCATTAAAAGGGACAAGAGTTACGATGTGCTCACAAAGTTGCAGTACCTCAATGTGTGGCAACTTGCCCTCCTGCGGAACAACCAGAACAATCGGTCGGCCTAAAGGGGGCCCGACGTGCTGGTCTCCGTCGATGTTTCGACCAGCAGACTTCAAGATATCTGCCTCTCGATCACAGAGCGACACGACATGTCGGCGCTCAAAAATGCGATCAAAGTACCATCGTAAGGATTCCAGAGAACTCCTACTGGGATCGCTCGCACAAACTTGGTTCGTTTCACCAATGTTCGTGCGAGCCCTCATCATCCCATCATCCTCAGGGTGATTGTCATACCCGTATAATATATCCCTCTCTGTAGAGCTGCCTGGATCCACAACGTCTCTTGGAGATGACTTGTAGCCGCAAAAGTCGGCAGTGTAGAGGAAGCCGTGCCCGCAGTCTAAAAACCAGAACCTCGGCGGCGCGACGGCACCGTATGCCGCTTCCACATGACGCCGCAGGGTCTCTGCGAAGTCCTCAACGGGTTCTGCCTCTGGCATAGGGCCGAGGAAGGTAGGAGGAGTGTAGTGGTACGAGCCAACCGATCCAACTACGTTGAATTTTCGTCTGCCGATATAAAAAACATGGTCCACCAGGAACGCGTTCGCGTTCCGAATGACCCCGCCGAAGTTTCTCTGGTCAAAGTCGTTTTCGTAGAGTACGGAAAGGCCAAAATGCCCAACAGACCCGTCCCCGGCGCTCCCCAACTCTCCTTCGATAACCCTGTGATCCTTCACCCCCCTTGGGTTCTCACCCTCACAGTATGCTAGCAGCGCGGCTCGGTAATTGCGATGCATTGCCTTGATAGCAGCCGAGTCCCTCCGGTAATAATTGGGATGGATAGGCCGAACATCGACTCGAGGTGTTGGGTTCCCTTGCGAGTGAAGCAGGGCCTTCTCACTAACACACATATCGGCATCTATCGGCAAGGACTCCTCAAAAACTGAATGAAATGTGCTCAGTGTTCTTCGAAGTTGCAGAGCTGAGAGGTTGTTTGCTTCATTTACTGAATTTAGATCCGTTTTGCCATCACTCAGGAAGTTTCTTTGGTCGTCATTACTAACAATTGTACGTGCTTGTGGAAAGTTGCGATCCAAATATGCATAGAATAAAGCAATCCCAAGCGAGGTTACAACGTTGAGAGAGCTAATGGTGCCATACTGCGGAATGTACACTACAGTCTTAGCACATGTATCCTCACCACTCCAATCGGAGTCAAATTTTTTGGTAAGCACATTTGGTGTGTCTCCATCACTCTCTTTTTTCACCATATCCTTGTGGAATGTATTCACCACTTTATGAGAGGGAAACAAAAATTTTGACCTGATCCCGAGGTTTTCGTGCCCGACCACGAGCCGGCAAGAATACGGAAAGCGAATACGAAAAATGCTCTGAGAACGAGGAGTGAAGTTCTCCAGTGCCACCATCGGTAGCTTAGTGAAATTACCCCTAAGAAATGACCCCTCGCCAAACAAAGCTAAACCGAGATCTCGATTCGCCTCATCCACGGTGGGTACGAACGCTTTGTAATCGCTGTTCCTTGTCGCGCGAAACTGCATATGCTCGATATCCTGCCACCCGCGTAACTTTAAGAAGGATGGTGGGGCAGCAGTGCCGAAGAATATGCAGGTCCGAATGGCGTTAGTGGCGTTAAATGCACTGTGGCATCCCTCCAGTCCCACCACGAGCTCACTAAGATGCGGCGGTATGCTGCGCCACGTGGGCACGTCCAACGACCACCGCACGAGCGGGTTCGCCTCAAACGGCAAAACGCGTCTGGGAGGCCGTTTGGTTTGCTTAAGTCGTGCAGCACATCGCCATAGCATCCGAAAAATTCAGACCAAAGAAACCGAGTAATGATGGTAAAGGATGCTTGAGATACATAAACGATGCCTAATGAAGTCGAATAAACGTGATGTAGAAAGCGAATGGTAAAGTAAGAGCCTAGAGCCACACGAGTGGAAATGGAAACGACAATAACAGACATATTCTCAGTGAAATTCGAAATATTGGAAAATATTGACTGATTAGAATGTCACTAGTTCATGACTAGTATCATACAGGAAGATGCAGCTGTAAACCGATAGAGTAAACACGCACGCGTGCGGGAACTCGTACGGTAAATCTCACTTCTACGGACTACAGTCAACGCCACTAGAAATTTTAGGCACAGTTACTGCAATTAGGCGAAGTTTACACACGCCCTTTTCTTCAGCTCCCTTACACACACCGCAACGCGTAC